AGAGATCTGAAAACTTAATGAAGTTGATAACTCTGAAAAACACTATTGCTACAACAACAGCAACAGTTGAAAGATCATTCTCTGGAATGAACAGAGTATGCTCGAAACTACGATCCAGAACCACAGCAAACCGTTTAGAGGATTTATTGTGTATATCTCTCAACAAGGATCTGGCCAATGAACTGGATGTAGAAGTTTTGATTGACAATTGGGCTGCAAAGTCGAACAGAAGAATCAATGTTTAGAACAGTTTAACATACGTTTGTGAATTGTGGTCTTAATAGTATTAACTAATTTAATACTGTCTTATTAAATAAGTTTCTTTCTTCGTGCACGACTCACTTTTTTAAAGTGTGCTTGTGGGTGCTAGTCAATTATCACTTATCAGCAGGAAATATAATGATTTGCCTCATTTTGTTGAATCAAAAGTAAAACAGTAAAACGCAAGGCAAAGCTAACCTCAAAGGCCGAAAATGCAGATAAACGCGTTTCAGAGAGTTCAAAATAAAAAAAATATGGGGGAGTAGGCACCCCCCCTGAATTTTGGGCACCCCCCAGAGCAAAATCTGAAAATCCATCCTTGGTAGCTTGCAAATAGAAGTAGCCTTCTGTGCTATCGGTTCATTTTAAGAATACATCAAATACGTTTACGAAACCGTGCAATATGTTAATTGCACGTCAGCACGTGGGCTCAAGTGGGTTCGCAATCTCGCATTTCCGCATGTTACAAGTCAGTCACTTCACTAAATCAACTAGGACTATTTTTTTAGGACTATTTTTTTGTGATATGGACGACAAACGTGAACAAGGTATGTAGCTGCATGCATATTGACATCGGAATTTCGATACACAATACACCAATCTCATTATTTACATTGACAAACGTTATCAATATTCAAGAGTGCAAAACACGTGGTACAACACTACAGTCAACAGTACAAAACGATTTGCTTCTTTGAATTATTAAGCAAAACAGAGCATGCCCAATTTTGTTTAATACGAGCCATTTGATATTTGAATTAGATCAGCAAAAAGTATTTAGTGATGAGCACCAAGAAGCCAAACTAAAAAAGGAATCGAGAATCAGGAAGCGAAGTTGGAAAAAGATTTTTCCAAACTTTCCCTGGACAAGGCAAATTCAAAAAAGGCCAGACTAGACGGGAAGAAGAAAAAGATGAAAAAGGGCAGAATTTCCCAAACCCCTAAGGCTTCTGCAAGTGAGGAGATTCCTGACATGAGTGGTTGGGACACTGATGTCATAGTCTCTAGTGACTCAGACAGCACACCAGATCACTTGGACCCACTCCCCCCCCCCCTTGACACAACAGAATGGAATGATGCGACCCCGTATACAAAGCTATAAGGAAAATCCACAGTAGCTGTTGAGGTTTTGGAAACATATATATATATATATATATATATTATACCTCAAATTCAAATTTTCCAATGAAAAAACGGCATTTGTACCACGTGATGTGATTTTTTACGGTATTTCACTCAAATTCATGATTTCGCAATCCAGCGTGGGATACTATAATATCCCACGGCAGATCCACCGTGGGATATTATAGTTATTAAGGTACTGATTAACTGAATTAAGTGCAACCAGGTGTTTAAGTCAGAAATTAGTCTTTATATTCGGCAATATTGATCAGCATGATCAGTTTTTGATACGGATTTAAATTTTAGATGGGATATGTCTAAACCAATGGATTTTTGGGAAACACATGACTGTCGCTCACTAAAGGACATCCAAGATTGTGCCCTAAAGAATAAATTTTCATGCCCACACAAGCCATTGCTGGAGGTTAAACTTCAAAATGTAGTATTGGATGAACTACATTTAATGCTTCGCATTACAGGAGATCTTAGTTTGTTTAACATACATATTGCAATATATATACAAGTAAGTTTTGGTTTGCAAAATGCTATAGAGTGCTCAATATCATATACATATAGAGCAAGACAGTATACTTTTGATATGGTTCAAAAAGGTTGCCACAGACTACTGTCTGGTTCATCCAACAGAAATCATCAGGTGACTCCTCGGAATCATCAGGTGATTCCTCTCAGATGAAACAACTGTACTAGCAACCCTTTGAGGTATATCAAAACTTTTATTAGTATTATATATAATCTTATATATTTATCATTTATAGACCCGGAGCGAGGGGGATTCGGCGTAATATTTCCCGAAGTGATGATATTTTCCAAGGGGCTTTGCCCCGAGGAAAATATCATCACTGAGGGAAATATCGCCGAATTTCCTGAGCGAAGGGTCTATAAATGATATATTATACCGATCACTAAGTTCAGAATAAACTTAAATAAAACTTGCTGAATATTATAAAATACGCCAATATATTAATACAATTTTTAATTTCTTATGTATACCTGAGTTTTTAACGTTTCCTCTTTAATATATTTGAGCATGTATCCTTTGGATCATTAAAGGTAACATACAGTACGTCTTGAAAATGTTTTGCTAAGTCAAATATTCTTTACGAAAATACGAAATCACAAACAACAGCTCGCGAACGCCATATTTTTTTAGAGCGTGGTGCCCACGCGTCACGTGTGAGCGTGGGATACTTGTGTATTTTACACCAAATACAAGCATAATCTGAGGTGGCTCCCATAAAACCAAGTATCAACAACAAAAACTAAAAGAGAAATACATATAAATATTATAACAAGGCCACATGCATGATGATAAATACCAATGCTACCATTTGTAAGGCTAGGTTCATACTATGTAACCCTAACACAGTACTCACAGGCATAAGCAAATTGGCCAATCCAATAATGTTTGGATATTGTTCCATTGTGCTTGCTTTATGATTCATACTACATTCAGATCAGTACCCAAGTACTGCGTCATGGTACCTAATTATGATGCAAATATTACCTTGTAATCGCCTCCAACAAATATCTCAATGGGTACATTTTTATCCTTGATTTTGATTTGTCCTGCTCTTCCTAACTTATTGATGTCATCAAAAATCTTTGAGCATGACCTTTTTAAAAGATCATAGTCCTCATGACCCTTGATAACAGCAACTGTATGATTCCCTATATGAGGAAATACAGAGAAAGCAGTATTTATGATAAAGCTGATATAGCTGGTTTATTTATTAACCCATTGAGTGGGACACTCTTCCCTTGACAAGTAAAATCATCTGGCATTAGACAGAGTAAAAACAAAGTAGGGTGCATCTGGGCATATTGACACTTAATTAAAGGGTTAATTTACACTAATAATATTTGACTATGTAAACTGAAACTATTAAAAAGAAACAAAATTATGGGAAAATACCTTTTGATGACATCACAGTATCTTCGGCATTTAGTATTGAAAAGCTGATGATGAAATTTGTCAGTCTTGTCATCTTTGCCCCATCACCACTGATTTTCACCTTAATTACAGTGTCTCTCAGTTTCTCATCTGACTCTATCTGAAAATTGAAGGTTGTGACATGAGTAATTTTTCTATAATAATATTGTAAACTCTTTCCAAATAGTGAATGAATCTCTGGGGCTGGTTGTTCAAAGGTCGATTAGCTTAACCCTAGGTTAACCTAAAATTCAAAGCAAACTACCCAACAGCTTGTTTATAAATTTGGAAATATTTCTTCAGAAATCTTGTCTGGGTCAGTAGGAGTTTTCTTCTCTGAAGTTTTGAAATAAACAGACTTGCAGAAATACACAAACTAAAACAACCGGTTAAATTTTAACCCATTAAGCGCCAGCGCTCTCTCCTTGACGAGTAAAATCATCTGGCATTAGACAGAGTAAAATACTAAAGTAGGGTGCACCAGGGTGCAATGCGACTCAATGGGTTAACTAGACACATGGGCAGATAGGCCAGTTAACCCATTAAGCACCAGCACTCTCTCCTTGATGAGTAAAATCGTCTGGCGTTAGACAGAGTAAAATACTAAAGTAGGGTGCAATGTGACTCAGTGGGTTAAGCGAGGGTTATTGCTAATCCAGCTTTGAACAACCAGACCCTGACAATTAAAAACATTATACAATAACATGACTTCATGAGTGGTATGTAATTACATTGCTTATATATCATAACCAAGATTGCTGTTTACAATTTGCCCAGCTTATCCAGGACTCATTTTATGACACAGGCTATGACTGCCCAGGCTAATCAGGAATGGCTATTGTGCAAGACAACAGTTAGCTGACCATAATATAACTATGGACAGTCATCGGGGCATAATGGCCAGTCTGAGTTTGCCAATGCCATGCCTTATTGTCTGGGCTTGTATTTTAACTCTTAAGTGATTTTAATACCCAAAAACAAAAGTCAACTTTTCCCCCAGACCATCCTCACTGTCAACAATAACTTCTGCAACTGACTCCTGAAAATGGATCTGGTCTGCTGTATATAGTTGGTATATATTTCATAAGTAAACTTACCATCTTTTCAATGACAGTGCTTAACTCGTCATGGAAATTGAGAGCAGCCCCATCCGCTTCCCCTGGCGTTCTTTCGATATAACAGAGCTTGTTTAAATTATCTTTACACTGTTTAACAAGATAGGACCTAGGAAGTTCTTCTCCACCCAGACAACAAGTTAGCTTGTGGTATGCTGCTTCCCCAATGCAAAATTCATAATAAATAATAAATAAAACCTGCTGTATATCTTGCTGTTCATCACCTGGCAGTTCCTTATACGATTTTAATCTCTTTTCTGAGCTAAAAGATAAGGAATGAGCTTGCCCTGAATCGTCAACCAATTTAACACGGTCCAGTCGGAGTCCAAAAGATTCACTGAACCAAAGCGCTTGCTCCACTCTTGTTGCCAAAGTTTGAAGTTTGCGTTCTTGCTGCCGTTTTCCTACTTCAACAAATGTTTTCCCCTTATCCTCAAATCTTCTTTGGGGCGAAATTTTTTCGATTACATTGTACAATTTGTTGTTCTCCGTTTTAAGTTTGTCAATGTCAACAGTAGCTTTGTCTATTTTCTTTTGGATTTGGCCTACCTGTGTTGATGCTTCTTTACATTTAACACTTAATATTTTATTTTCATTAGTAATCGCCGCATTTACATTTTGAAGCTGTGATACTTGGCTTTGTAAATCATTCACCAAGGTAACAGTACTAAGTTCGCTATGACGAATAGCAACACTCTTCGCTTTTGCCAGTAAATTTTGCCGACTTCCCCCACGTTTCCCGATAAGTTGTTTTGCTACTTTCGCGCAATGTATACGTAGGCATTCATCGACTCTTGAACAGTTTTCCTGAACCTATAAAGAATACCGTTTGCCGATAAATACGTTCAGTATCTGTACGTACGAGCAGTCACTCAATGTTGTTCGCTTTATATTGTGCCAACTGTTTAGTTGTTCGAACGGATTGTGAAGCGTAAATGCAACTTCTTCAGGTCTAACGTCGGACTTTTTAATTAAGTTTGGGCAATGCTCGCTATCGGCAAGTATTTCCCTTTATGGCGTTTGCCATAAATTTGCATTAAATTTGCATCTCAAAGACGGCCAGAGAAGGATTCTAATTTCCCGCTTCAATGCGCAAAATGTTTCGCAGCAATAAGTTACCATGGTAACGAGACAGGAAGTAAATATGCAAAGGGTTTGTACGCTGGACAGAAGCAGCGCCGTCTCTAGAAATGTATTATATGAGAAAGCTCTGTTTCTCAGCTTTAATTTGATGTATTGCTCGATGAATTCCGACAAGTATAACGCCAAAAATGTGTGTTCAAAGACAAGACATTTGAGTTCAAGCTTACATTCTCAAAATATATCAGTCTGAGTTTAAAACATCGTTCCTTGGTAAACAAAATGACACATCAAACAACGTTTATTTTAACAAATGACAGCGCTATTTTGTGGTGTATTACTCATACTTCGCAGTGTAAACGGCACAAAATGAGAAGCAATGCTGAGTTACTTGCTTGAGGCCTTTCAATATCATAAAATACGGGATTTTCGTCAAACTTTCACAGGTTAGTAAAGCAATCGTATACATATTATATCTCCGTCGGTTATGACACATCATTTTATCCAAACAAAACCTCAAATATAGCCTTATGTGACTATTTGGGTATGTAATACCACGGATCAACGGCACAAATTGGAAATATTTTGTAAAACTTTTTATGAACTATTACTAATATTCTTATACTGCTGTCAGATGCCATGTTTTGTTGTTTGTGTGCGTGCGCAATATCGCATGTCGCGAATTTCTGGCCATGGTATGTTCACTTTCACTAGGACACAGGAAAAGTGTCAACTGCAAGTTGCTCTTGTGTAGCAGGACAGCATGGTTTATGCAAGCATGTAGCTGCCTTACTTTATCAAGTTCTGGACTTTATTCAGCTTGAACTAACTGAAGTGCCCGATAACCTAACATGTATGCAGCTACTGCAACAGTGGAATGTACCAGCAAGTGAGGATCTTAAAACTGCTGTACTTTTTGATAATATCAAATTTAGCAAGGCAACTTCAACAAGGAAATGTCGTAATACTAATAATACAAACAACCCAGCACCTGCTTTTGCAAGAAATGTGACTGATACAGACATTAAAAAACTTAAGGATGGATTAAAAACTGTAGGAACATGCAACTATTTTGAAAAACTACTAGAATCAAACAATTGTCAACCTTATGACTACAATGAATTCCTGGCAGATTACCTTCAAAAAAGAAATTCACCAAAGCCCAGCAGAGTGCGGGTCAATTGTTTAATGTAGAAATAAGGGATTCAATACTGAATGGAATAACCCATCCAAACATTCCCGAAATGTGTAAGCATATACCATGCCCACAGCATGTACCATTTGTTCAAGAAAAGCTGCTCAAAACAAAGGAACAAATTATCAATATTGAGTGCAACACAAGAGGGCAGTCAGGGCACCTTCGTTTAACTGCCTCAAATTTTGGGTTGGTATTGAAACGTAGGGAAAGTATTTTTCCAAAGTCAGTACTTACCAAACAGTTTACTTCTGTCAATAGCAAAACAAAAACACCAAAACCATGTCTATGGGGACAAAGCAATGAACAAAATGCAATTACAAAATACTTAGAAAAATGTAACTGTGATGAACAGTGTATCAAAGCATGTGTTCAGTGTGGGTTAGTAGTTAATGCAGAAGCTCCATGGCTAGTTTCTTTGCTAGTTTGGCCTTTGTGCCAGAGAAGGAGGAATAGAGAACTGAAAAAATGTTGTGGAAATTCAGAAAAACACACTGTGGAGTTTAGTGAAATATGCAGTGGACCAATCAGTGGAACAACATTCTTGCATCAGGTAAGAATACTGAAATAGTGTTGTACACTATTTGATACATGAACAATTGCATGGGCCAATCACTAGCAGGTTAATTGAGGTAATCGTTAATGAGCATGTGATTGAAACCGTTAGTGAGCATGTGATTGAAGGCAATAAGTAGATCGTTGTAGGATTTTAACGGTAATTTTAGACTGTCCACAAGCTTAGTATTGTCCAATTTCAGTTTGTTGGTACTCACAAATTGCAACTCTTTGCTTCTCCGCTTCGGGGTCAAAATACTTCGCTACTACCCAGTCTGGCATTTTGCATAGATAGGTTTGGTTAATGGTGTTCTCGTGTTAACCTATGAACTTCTTCAACAAACTTTCTTCTACTGGATTTACTGGTAACAAAGAGGGCAGCAAGTCATTAGGCACAGGAAGACTTTAACTAGAAGGGTGGTTGTGTGGACTGATTGGGTTAGAGTTTTAGACTTGGGACAATGCTTGGTATGTAGTTGTGATTGTCGTCAATACAAAAAATAAACTGTTCATTTTCAATCACACTTTGAAAAAAATTCTTTCACTCTTTCAAGGTGTGATGCTCACAAGTGCAGCATGGAGGCTTCGATGGTCCAAGTTACAAAGTGATGCCAATCCTTGCTGGCTGATTCCAAATTGCTGGAGTATTCTTGTCAGGGATACTTGGAACCATCTGATCTCATTGCATCATGGAGGGTTAAGAAGAGACTACCATACAAATACCCTTGAATATATCTGGATCCATTACAGGGAGGTTGAGGGGCTTGAAGAATGTTTTCAATTTTTCCAGGTCACCTTTGATGTTGATGTATCTGGTTGCCTTGTGAACAATTTCTTTGTAGTCCTCTTTGGACATAAAAATAACCTTGCTTGTTTGTGTCACTTCATTGTTGGCCTTGGAGTCTTGACTTGGACAGCTTAAAGTAGCAGTTGACTCAGAATCATGATTATCTTTTCTGTGTGATTCACTCAGCAAATAAGTGGTAGACCCTCAAGCTATATTTGACAATTATATGTCTTAGTATTGCAATCTTAATGCCCCATTGTCATACTATATCTAAGAAATGAGCAGCATGTCATTTACAGACTTGCAAGGAGTTCTGGATATGAGTCTTAGTTGCCCTGATAATTGAGAAATTGTCTGAACTGAATATACTATCTTCAAGTGATTATATAATTTATTTATCTACTTGAGTGTTTTTAATGGATGACTTTTTTCAAGGTTATATTTTTTCATCCAGTATAAACTTATTAAATTCTTCGGCCATTTCACCTAAACTGTATGCTCTCAAGTTGACCATCCGGCTCAAGCCATCAACGCCATCTGACCACTTGTGCAAATGATTATTGCAATTTTTCGAAAACTTATGCATTGTAGATTAAATTTAAAAGCAGTTCAGTAGAAACAAGCGACAAACTTTGAAAGTGTTTTGTGTGTAGAATGAAATGTTTCTTGCGAACGGGAAAATTAAATGTTAGATAGACCATCACTTTTGAGGGTTTTTTTTCGATATCTTAGGTGATGCTAGTAAGCTATCTTGAGTTGTTTGTTTTAAAAGAATCGTTTCTATATTTATTTGATATCATAATAACAAAATCAATAGACAAAAAAACAATCAGAATGTTATTTGTGAAAGGATTGTTGTGAATTCAAAGTGCAATATTTAGGCTTGCACAAGGCAAAGTTTGAAGGCCTGTGTCTTTGCAACAACACAATAAATCAAATTCTTAGGAGAAATCATATTTGGACAACATATATTGATTTCAGGAAAAATGTCTGTGACTGCCTGTGTTTGTTTATAAATTTTGCGATTTACGCATTCTTAGAGCCAAAATGTAAACAAATGCCTTGATTGATCCAGAACAAAATTCACCCTCGTTCTGTTGTATATAAACTTTAACAGTATACAATAGTTACATGTAAATTTAATGTGTATAGAGTTAGTCTACTTTCCATATAAATCCTATCCCAGTGACACTCCCATCGCTAGAAATCACAGACATTTCAATCCCAAAACATCCCTTAAAACTATGCCCCATATTACCCCTTTCGATCCCCGAAATTCCTTATTCACAATTCAAAATGGCGTCCGTCAGGAGAAGAACTAATCCAGTTGATTATGTCAACTTGAACAATTTATCATCAGAAGTTTTGTACGAAAGCGGAAAGAAACCAAAAGGAAAGTTTTTTTCAGTTGATAGGCTCATTTTTCGAAAGAAAGTTAGTCATGTAAGTTTGCTAAATCTTATCCATTTCTGAGTTTCACCTATAAACTTGCATTTACTATAAAATATAATAAACTTGTTGACATGCTATTAAATGTAGATATACTTTTTTATGTATTTTAAGACTTGGCAATATTTGGTAAAGTGGACAGGATGGCCTCTGCATGCATGTAGTTGGGAGCCCTATGATCATTTGAATCCAGCGCTTTTACGGTACCAATCTCGTTCCCCGAGCATGCCCGTTCGCAGGTTAAGGGTGGGCATAGCTCTGGAGAAATCGAATTGATTCAGGCCTGTGATTGGCTAACAGCAGATAAGTACGTTGGATTTCCAACGTGAGTTCTACGCATGCTTGGCAATTGCAGCAAAATATAAACAAAGTATTTGGAATTTCTCGTCGAAAATTTGATACATTTTACACTGAAATCGAATTGAAAACAACTAGAAATTCTGGAGGAAATATGTACGAAAGCTTCGGATTGATAGGGATACAACTACCTGAAAAATACAAGGAGAACTTCGACGTTTCAAGCGAAGGCGCTTCGACTTGTACTGTTAGTATTTGTATACATCATACTTGACCTTTTATATACTGTCATATCTAACACTACGTATACCACAAACTCTGACAGGAGTGTTAGTGTAAATTTTAAAGCATAAAAATATATAATACTTATTGTTGAGGAAATTATATTTATCAGCAAAGGTCAAGTACGATGTATACAAACATAAACAGTACAAATCGAAGCGCCTTCGCTTCAAACGTCGATGTTCTCCTTGTATTTTTCAGGTAGCTGTATCTCTATCCAACCGAAGCTTTCGTACATATTTCCCCCAGAATTTTTAGTTGTTTTCAATTCGATTTCAGTGTAAAATGTATCAAATTTTCGACGCGAAATTCTAAATACTTTATTTATATTTTGCAACATTGCCGAGCATGCGTAGAACTCACGTTGGAAATTCAACGTGAACAATTCGATTTCTCCAGAGCTATGCCCACCATTAGCCTGCGAACGGGCATGCTCGAGGAACGAGATTGTTACGGTACATACTCAGGTACTGGTTTATTTTAAATACAAGATTGCAAGATGACAGATTGACCGTGTCAGAATCTAAAGGAATGACTAAGAAAGTACTTAAAGTATACGTCTATTTCTTGTATTTCTTCATTTTCTCTAAAACAAATTCATATTTTTGACAGTTGAATGGATAGAAGGATATGTGTATTGTACATGTGAAACTTAAAAAGTGCACCTTAATATGACAGAGTGGTCCTTGTATAAATCGGCACGCCGAAGTTATGCCAATTTTTATTATAAACTCTTACAGTCTGTTAGTACCTCACACTGCACCTATCCGGCATGGAATACATGCATGGATTTCAGTTTGGCTGATGTATTTTGATTTTATAAATGACAGAAATTTACAATATTTTCAATGTTGATTTTCCAGTGCTTTTCACATCTAAAATTGCAGACACAATTTTAATGTTTCTCAATGACAATCTTTTAGTATACAATAATTTAGAGTTGATGTTGTTCAATACCATTCAATAATATATGCACTAATGCATTCATGTACCAAAATGCTTGTGTTCAGTAAAGTATGTTGTCTTTTTTCTCTTCACGCATGCTTAGGAGCTATGAAAGTCCAACAAAGCCAGATGAAGGCAGAATTGAACAAGCTAGTAGAAGTTTTTACAATGCCATTGCAAGGGCTCTTAAAGGGAAATCTACTACCCCTGTGGATGCTCAGATTGACCTTGATTTACAAAGATGGCTTTGGAAAGGGAAGGGAGTTCAATCCGAACATCTTGGTTATTAATTGTATGAAAAACAGGACTTTTGTAATTTGAATCTAGAGGAATCATGGTGGGTATCACCTTGATAGCAATGGTGAGGGCAGAGCAAATAAGCTTTCCAATTAAAATAAAACCTGTATTATTATGGTCCCCAAAACGTTACATTGTTCAAAACAGAGAACTGATGCAAGCAGAAAGAATGCCCATTGAGAAAGCTAAGATTCATTTTTCAAGACAAGCATGTAGTGCTGAGACACTATCAAACAGTTGTCTTTAATGCAACACTTTTTAAATAGTGTTGGACTTGTACATGAACTATGAAATAACATGCTACTAAAACATGTACTACTTCATGTTGACGTTTCACTTCATTTTATAGACGGAGAAATATATTGGCAAAAACAGGGAACAGCTATTGGGACAAAATTTGCCCCGGCCTATGCCAATATATTTATGTATGTCTTGGAAGCAAGGATGCTAAAAGAATGCGAATTTAAACCATGGGTATGGTGGAGATTTTTGGATGATATATTTTTTATTTGGTTGCATGGCATTGAAAAGTTGGAAAAGTTTTTGAATTTTATAAATTCTTTTCACGAAACAATCCGTTATACTTGGGATTATTCTGCAAATCAGGTGTCATTTCTTGATGTAACAATCTGTAAGGAAATAGGAGGGGGGATTTCTACTGATGTGTATTCAAAGCCTACGGATACACATCAGTATTTGGACTTTCGGTCATGTCACCTGAAGCATGTAAAACAGGCTATTCCGTATGGGCAGGCACTTCGATTGAGACGTATTTGTAGTTCGGAAAGTAAATTTGATCAACAGATTGAGGAATTTAAAGGTTATTTGCACAAAAGAGGTTTTGAAAAAACAAGAATATCGTCGCAATGTGAAAAGGTTAAGAGTAAGGATAGGAAGGCTTTGTTGCATCAAAATAAGAAAAAGCTTGTGGATTCGAACATAGTACCTTTAGTTTTGAATTTTCATCCAGCGTTGTCGGAAGTGAATGATAAGGTTAACTCTCTATGGTCGATAATACATGCTTCAGATGAGATGAAAGAAGTGTTTAAAGATAAAAAGCCTTTGATTTCGTTTAGAAGACCTCGAAATTTAGCGGATAATTTTGTAAGATCTAAAATTAAAAGAGACGCTGATACAGGTAAAACCAAGGGTATGAGGAAGTGTGGGAAATCTAGATAGATATGTTGTTATGTAGAGGAAACGGAAAAATTTGAATATGGGAATAATAAGTATTGGATAAATTATTCCTTTGATTGTGATTCGGAGGGTGTAATTTATGTATTAAGATGTATCAGTTGTTCTAAGATTTATGTGGGAAGTACGATAACATCTTTTAGGAAGAGGTTTAATAATCATAAGAGCTCAATGAGGAAGTATGAACAAGGGGGCAGAAAAATGGCTGCGGAGCATTTATACGCACATTTTTTTGGCCCAGGGCATAAAGGTTTGGACGATGTTAGGGTTATAATTATTGATAAAACCAATATTGGTAAGCCTACACAAAGGGAAGCATTTTGGGTATACAAATTGGACAGTTTTGTACCTAGGGGATTAAATATGAGAGATTTTGATTAATTGTTGTATATAATTAATAGGGTTATATAAAGGACATTAGGCCATTGACTTCGTTATTCATCCTTGATGAAGGGGCATGCCCCGAAACGTTGGTTTAGAATAAATGTTGTAATAAAAAAGTTTAGTTTGTGATTTATTTATATTAATATGATATTGAACTTGATCGGAGAAGGGTTGGTGATTTACTTATATGTATATGTATATGTATATAGGTGCATGCCCCTTCCAAAATGGTGCTTTTTAAAAGTTCCTTCAATTTGTCAAGCCTTGTGTAGTTCTTCTAGTTTTTCTTTCACTTCACATAAACTCATGCTGTCAATATCCTCTGGGTTTAATTGATCGTGATGGTTCTCGTCCTCTCTTGGATCTACACAAAGACGCGGTCTCTTTCTTCTCAGCTCAAATATTTCATTTGACCAGTAGGTGTTGTCTTGCTTCTGGTATTGGTGTGGCATTCTTTCAAAATCCTGAAGATTATCAATTTGTTGAAGTGCTTGCATTGCCTCTTTGCAAGCATCATGGCGATTACTTTTATTATGATAAATTGCACGAACTACATCATTAATCTTTTCAATCCCTTGCCCAGTGAATGATTTCAAGGACAATGATTTCATCTTTGATGAATCTGGGTACATGACTTAGTTTAGCAACATACTATATAGCAGCTGTGCCAAGCAACTCAATTAAATACAATATATCACTTGCCTTCTCAAAAAATCCATCAATATCTGTTTGAGAAGGTTTCCATGATGAAAGTATTCCATACAATTCATGAAATTCCTAGAAAAATGAACATAGTATATCAAGAACTAAGTTGTTGAGAAATAGCAGCTAGAGTACCCAAATATCGTAATGTACCTTCCATATTTCTGTAATTGTATCACAATGGTTCGGTTCAAGAATGTTTGGAAACTGTGCAGGCAGCTTTGCAAGAACTTTTTTCTTTTCATTGCCAACCATACTTGTCTAGTCATGCACTCCACTGTCACTCCCATCGGCATTCTTCTTTTTCCATACACTAAAGCTTACACCGCAATTATTGATGGCTTCAACTACGTTTTGTAGGTGTTTATTTTCCCTCTCTGATGGTTTTCTATTGAGGTTCTCTTTACACATGTTTTCAAAATTACGCGACCAAGGACGAAAATGCTACAGTTGACATGTCAGTTTTATGTCATTCGGTCACGAAGTTTAAACTTTGAGTTTTGCGGTTCCTTGTCGATGTATATGCTTTGTATGTTTTATATAAACAGGCTTACAATGATTTTCAAGATATTCTAGTGAGAATTATTGCAAAATTTGAGCACAAACAAAATCATAACATCACCGTTATAGTCTAGCACGCGTGTTTTATACTGACAGCTAAATTCCAGGATAAAATGTTATTTTTCAAACTTTAAAAGTTATTGGCGGCACATATTTCTGTAGTGATGGTTTGTATTATGCTTTAGTTTGTGTATCTAAGTTATCTAACTCATTTTTGTTCAGTTTTGGTATTAAATACGGTTTAAAATGTCTTTTGACAGTTTGTTTACGCTTGCTATTTTTAGCAGTTTTTGTGACATAAAACTGACATTTGAAGTAAGAGTATTTTTTTAGGGAGGTCGCGTAATTTTGAAAACGGGTGTAACATCACGCTTAATCGCGTTGTTTATTACATTACGTTAAAAAATATCTGACAAAATGAAAAGGAGTTATAATATTCCTGCCATAAAGTAATAGCCAGGGCCGTAGCTAGCATGTATAGTTGGGGGGGGTGTAGGCCAAAAATTTCCGAATGACAAAAAAAATTTCCGAATATTTCATGGCATACAAAGCCACGAAGGTGTTTGCTACCTGGAAAATGAATACGCAATTTACAAACAAAAATACAAATATTTTACGCACAGACATATTACAGAAGCATGCAGTGCCGTAAGAACCTCCTTGTAATTGGGAGGAGTGAGGGCTGAGAGCAAGGGCCGAAGGCCCGAGGAAATTTTTAAATTTCGAATCTCTGAAATGCCATTTCCTGGACTTTGGGGAAGTTTTGACAGAATTCTGATGGTCAGAAAACAGCATTTTAGGATTTTGATATAAAAGAGAGCTAAAAACAGTCTTTTTAAGTGCAAATGGGGGGGGGGTATGTCGGAAATTTGAAAGTTTTGTCGGAAATTTAGGAGCCTTTGCCCCCCCCCACCGGAAAAAGTGAATTTCCGCCACTGCATGTAAATGCCATGATTTCGTAAATCAGTTTATACTGACAATACAATATTATATTTTATCTGTTAATTTAACAACTAAAATTTTGTTATACTATTATTGCTGTAATTTTCCGAATGGGCAACCTGATTTTCCGAATATGTTAATTCTAAAAAAGTTGGGGGGTTACCCCCCCCCCAATACACCCCTCGCTACGGCCCTGGTAACAGCAGCAAGGGCATTCTGTATAGTATATTCCATCAGTTATAGTTGTTTTAATGTCTGTCTGACAGTTAGGAACAAAGTCTATATTATGATGTGCATACTAGTTAATATCAAGACAACCTACCAATTTACAAATTTCAATAATACCATACCAGTTATTCTGAGAAGCAAATGAAGTTCGTCAACCCTGACATTCTCAATTGGGATACCGAGCAATGGCTTTTTGATGCAACCATAGTTAGATGAGGATTTGCAGGCCATGGATCTGTTGGTACTAAGAGTTCTTGCATTCTTACTATTATGGTAATAATCCTCTGCTTTTGATGTATCCCACCTACATCAACAAAGATGTTTAATCCATTAAACCGCAATGTGCCCTTCTGTACCTTACTATATCTTTTTACTCTGGCTAACACCTGATTGGTTTACTTGTCAAGAGGAGAGTCTTGCATGTTAACCCATTTACTGACAGTACTCTACCACTGACTAGTAAAATCGTTTGGCGTTAGACAGAGTAAATACTAAAGTAGGGCGCATTTGTGAGCATTACCAGTTAATGAGTTAACAAGAGACATTGGCAGATAGATTTGTTAACTCATTTACTGGCAGTACTCTACCACTGACAAGTAAACCTGTCTGGCGTTAGACAGAGTAAATACTAAAATAGGGCGCATTTGGGCATGTTACGAGTTAATGATCGATTATTGTACGATTATTAATATTCAAACAATATATCAGAGAAAAATGGTTAGGGTAAATAACTTAAAATTGCAGAATGATCAAATTGCTGAAGGTTTATTACTGGACATAAAAATTAGTACCCTGGTTCCAGAGGTTCTTGTACCGCCGTATTACTTCATACTATTTTGATACACGATGGAACGGCGAACCTCTGGTGGCACGTGATACAAATCTCACTTCCACGCGAAATAATATGAAGTAATACGGCGGTACAAGAACCTCTGGAACCAGGGTAAAAATTAGACTTGTATAAATGAGGGGAAAGATGAGTAAAATCACCTGACCTAAGAGCAAATAACAATGTAGGGTGTGCCAGAGTGCATTGCATCTGTCTCAATGTTGAAAAAAATATATGCAAACACTGGTCCAGTAAATTAAAAAGATAGCATGCACTGAAATAAAATTTGTTTAATGTACCTTTCACTTTTGTGGACCAGGCAGTAAACACATGCATACACATTGCACTGTTCATTCCAAGAACAAGAAGTAGGAACTTGAAGAGATATATAAAGAAATACAATCATGATTTTCATGTGATACTGTAGCTCAACCCCAGAAAGGATACAACAACCAGTTAACCTAATTATTGATTTTGAAGAAGAGAAAGCATCCTTTATAATCCTTGTTTACCACTCACTGTATCTTATAATCACCAGACAGATAAAACTCCAGAGGAATTCTATGACCATCCACCTCAATTTCACCATGTTCAACAAGATCATTAATTTCAGCTAAGATTTCCTTACAGGAAATTCTTAATACCTCGTAATCCTCACTTCCTGAAACTATTCCCACAGTATGATTTCCTAAATGATTTATTTAACAATCAGGAATTTCTGTAGGTTTTGAGACAACAACAAAACTTATTCAAGATCAAAGCCAATTATTCTAACTGTACATCAGTGGCTCAGCATATTTTTTCTCTTACCTTTCCAAGACATTACTTTTTCGTCATCAGAAAGCAAAAGACAGAACAATGAAATTTGCTATGCGCAACATTTTTGCACCATTACCTGCAATTATGACTTTTTGTTTTCCAACATCTCCAAGCTGTATCTATAAAATTGATAAAATCAGTATACACTTTATTGATACAATCTATAAAATTAATCAATGCAAACACATTTATCCATTTTCAGGGGGAGAGGAGACAGCTTTATGAAAAAGCTGTTGTCACGTTAAGGGTTGTGTAAAAGTACTACAGTTTAAGTACTGCAAAACATTAACAAATTACCTACAGCTAAATAATTGTAAGAGAGTATTAAATCCCAACATAAAGGTTTACTTTTGAGATTGATGCAAAACAACTTAGCCCCCCCCCCCCATCAGGCCTCACATATGCCCCATATGCTTCCTGTAGATTGTGATGCTTGTAGCAAGTGCACATGGTTTTCTGGCACGAAATAATGTCTCAATGAATTGCAAGCATGCCCACACACACACACCCCGGAATCTATCGGGAATTTACATTTTGACAAAAGAGCATTGCCCACTGTGGGGTGAGTATAATTATACAAAATTCTCACCTTGGGGACTCAAAATTGATGCAAATGCTCCACCCATGGGAATATAATAGTTTCTGTTTTGTATTGTTTATTACTTGAATGCTGATTGACAACATATATTTTAAGTCTAGGAGCATGCAGCTATGTATAAAATATCAATATGAAATGTGCAATGCGCCAAAGATTGAATTTTCGAAATTCGGTATAGATTAACAGGGTGGGATACACATCTGCTTTCTTTGAAGACACTTCAACAAATGGGTCATTCCAGAAAAGATACACACTCCCCCCGCGGAGGAAATTTCTGCTGTCCGGAGGGGGAGGGGAGATAAAATTCTTTCTGATAATAGTAAATGTATTAGGACATCCGAAGGGGGTAGGGGGTTAATGTCCAATTTCCTCAGTGGGGGTGGTATGGATGTTTTCTGGAATGTCCCAATTCCCCACCCTGGGAAAACCTGTTGAGGCAAATACCCAACCCTGATAACAGGTGAGTTGCTAAATGCCTGACAAATGCCCAGGGAGGGGATGGGCATGCTTGGAATTGATCGAGACATAATAGGAAAGATTACCTTCTTTCTAATTTGTTCCCTTAGTTCTCCTTTAAAACTCATCTGAGCCCCTGGGTGTTTTCCTGGTGTACGGGTGATATGACTGATTGAATTTTGTGCGTTTCTACACTGTTTAATTAAATAGCTCCGTGGCAGACCATCAACCAGCATTGACATTTCATGATAAGCTGAATCACCCACACAACACTTGTCCATAATATATAGTAGAGCTCTGATAGTTGTCTTGTCATTTTCTGGTAACTGTTGAAAATTAGTCTTACTGCTACAACCATTCTCACTATAGTTTATTTCTGTTATTTTGCCATCCAGATCTTCGATCTTGATAGAATCCAATTTAAACCCGAACAATTCCATGAACCAAAGTGCTCTTTCGCTTCTGGTTTTCAGCTCCTTTACTTTTCTTCTCTTTTGTCATTCCCCAACTTTATCAACTGGTTTCCCAGTGTTCTCCAGATTTAAACTACAGCTACTACACACAGTTGTCTCTTCAATAAAGTCCAGGTATTCTTTTAACTCTTGGTTCTCTAGAAAGGCATGATCTCTCTCCATTTCAACACTTTTAACCTTGTCTTTCTCCTTTAATAAATCTTGTAAAAGTTCATCACATCTGCTGTCGAGATCCTGGAGTTGTTTACAAAGATTGCTGTTTTCTTCTTCCAACTTTTCAAACTCTTTCTGAAGACTGCTGACATTCAGCAATTCATCAAAATAAACATGAAATGATCTTGTCTTCTCAAGAAAGTTTTCCTGGTAAGACCACGTAGTCCTCTGCTTTTGGTGTATGCTCGAGATGCCATAACCCTTATACTTTCGTCAATTCTGCCAACCCCATGTTTGATTTTAATCGGCAATTTGGACGCACTCAGAGCCAGTAACTCTTGTTAGGAGATGTTTGGAAAACTGATTTTTAATTCCTGCCATTTTAACAAAATCTTTGTCGAAATGTTTGGAACAACAAATTGCCCTGACCTTTGATATCCAACGTATCATAAACATGAATAATCCCCACCAAGCTGTATTTCATATTTAATTTTTAGCCTCTCTTGCCAAGAGAGGTTGTCTGACATTGTCTTTTTGTATATAATACAGCGCACAGAGCAATATTTATTGGTAGCTAAATTAGCCCAAATAAGCTAAATAAGTTCTCAGGGCACGGAACATTAATAACGTTAGCTAAATAAAGTACAAATGCTAGAGAGTGGAAAGTTACCGCTGACTAGAAGAATTACAAAATATAAACAAACAAAAAACAGAAGAAAAGAGCTTTTGAATGATATATTTTGGGCCATTTTTGGCCTAAAAAATCATCACCAAACTGCGACATTAGAACCTGATGAGTGTGTCTAATAAACGAACCTTCGATTTTATGCAAACTTGGAATGAAGCAAATAATCATTGTATGTGAACAATTGTTTCGGACACTAATATCTGCATATTTTTTAAATTTTACCGCACATTTTTAAGTTCATCGATCATTAAACCGTAGTTTGACTTTGTAAAATGTGGATTATTGTCGTTTTGATCAATTAGTTACAAATCCTGCTGTACATTTAATTGCATTGTTGCCCAGTTTTAAGTATCATAAATAATCATTTTATTATTGGTTTTAGTTTTCTTTCTTATTTCCTTGATCAGTTCACGGAATTTTGTTTCCATAATGCACAATTTTAATTTTGTATGGTTCTTAAAAGATATTTTATGTAAAAATTGGATGACCATCTACATTCCTGATAAAATTTGAATATAAGAGTGAACATGGGGACTGGGGCGAGAATGCATGCTGCATTCCAAATGTCCGCGATTTCTAGCGATGAATGACCAGGCTTAATAAAGGTTTTTGGGCTAGGATCTGGTCTATGGAAAGCTTTAACAGGATTTTTGATTTAGGCTCTTAGTTTACAGTATACTATTTATGTATTAATATTTATATAGTGTCATCGTTCGGATAATACATAGAATGTTAGGATGAACTGCATTTTAAATGAGTTTATATAGTAAAGTGAGTAAAAATATAGAGCTATTTACATTATGATAAATTAGATTAGTGCATATGCACATAATATAAAACGGGAGTTTCGAAAATGAAGACCTACGAAAACGAAGACCTACGAAAACGAAGACCGAAGATCTAAGATGGGTCTTCGTAATTACGAAAAACGAAGACCCACTACGAAAACGAAGACCCATCTTTGTTTTCATACTATGAAAACGAAGACCCTAAAATATTTTTTTACATTGTTTTCGCGAAAATAAGCGTAAAAGTGTCGCAAAATTAATTACAAGGCAAATTATTTATTTTATTAATATTAATATATAACTTAATGTTTATGTTTGGTAGTTACGTATTACCTCTCAGTTTTATCACAGAGTACTTACATACAGAGGTCTCACTTCTGAGGGAAAACCGTAATAATTAAAAAAGGTAGTTTTTACCAAAATAGCTGGTGGCCATGTTCTTAGCAAGAAGCCCTGGAATATTAAATTTCAATATGTTTTGAGGAGGTTGACTACCTCTCGTTAGGGCACTTCCTAAGAACACGGCGTATACTGGAAAAATCCCTTACGCTAAATTAACTTGAATCACTGAGACATCTGTGTGTACTATGTACGTACTCTGTGGTTCTATTGACCGTGGTATTACTGATTCAAACTTAACTGATTTGCACAGACATTGACAATAGTACAGCAATTAAATAAATACATGTCGAATATTTGTTAAAATTGTAAATTTTGTAATTGTAATTCTGACATTCTGTTGTTAACATTTTACATTATAAAATTATTTAGTTATTTCTTGCTTGTCTGATGTTTGCCTTTGACTATATTAAAAATACATGAGTGATTTACTCAATACTGGTTTAGGTTTCTGATTCTATTTTTATTGCTGAATCGTAGTTTCCTTCATCATATTAACATATACTATATTGACATATATTATTATTCCTTAATTTTTTCCAGTAATTTATCGGAAATTTTTCGCGACACTTTTACGCTTATTTTCGCGAAAACAGTGTAAATAAATATTTTAGGGTCTTCGTTTTCGTAGTACGAAAACAAAGATGGGTCTTCGTTTTCGTAGTGGGTCTTCGTTTTCGTAATTACGAAGACCCATCTTAGGTCTTCGGTCTTCGTTTTCGTAGGTCTCCTTTTTCGGAACACCCAATATAAAACATTGAGTTAGTTATGTAGGAAGTATATTTTTTATTAAAAATACTATATGATATGCCAATATTTTTGTTAAACTACTTTCAAGGTTATTCCAGACATTTACTCCTTTTACTGAAAATGAGTGCTTGATGTAGTTAGTCTGTTGATGAGGTCTGAATTTAGGTGAATTTCAAGAGTTGTTATTGCATGGTAAGGCCACTACAAGTTAATCTTTAGTTTCTGGTCCGCCGCCCGCGTCCTTTCTTCGCAAAGTATTATTTCAGGACTATTTTGTTGTTTACAATTAATTTCTAGTTCTTGAAAATTTTCGCGAAGGATTTAACTTATAGAACAATAAATATTCAATTTACACTAAAAACATCTAGCAAAATGTAGTAAAACCGCTGTTTTATCAAGATTACGAGATCATTTTGATATGTAAAATCCTTTGTAATCTGTCATACATGTCGATTTATAAATAATATAAATGCAATTTATGTAAAATTTCATAACATTTTGATACAATTAGCATGAAAAGGGACAAGAAAGACCACAAAAATGTGGGCAAAGCCACAATTGTAATTATGTCCTATAGTCCTAACCACCCGCCCGCCCGTGTCCTAAACGAAGGTAAGGCCGGACCAGAAACTAAAGATTAACTTGTAGTGGCCTAATAAAGAAATTGGTAAAAAAAATTGTAAGTTATTTAAATGATGATATCGAAAAATGAAGAAACTCATTAACTAATCATTTAATTTAGCGATATTTAAGATTTGCAAGTCAATAAATAGTTGTTCAGAATGGGTTTGGAGGCAAACTATTTTCTTTTTGGATATTAATTGTCCATAAATTAATGGTTTTGTCAATAACACGAGTATTGTCAATAACAAATTGTTTTTCAGTAACATATGGAGTACAACTAGAAAATACATGCATGCAGCAACCCCTTGCCTTTCTTAAACAGATGAAGTATAAAAACTCCACATAAAGTATTAAGATCATTATAAACAAACATAAAAACACAACTGATTTGCTATCTTTATAATGAACGATAACACTCACTGCAATTTCATGCATACCAAGCTTGCATTAAAGTGAATTATCGAGTTAAGAATGGCTTTAAAAATTTTGCAGATATGAATACAACTGAGAACACAAAGCAAGTACGGCTTGGAATTTTACTACTGAAATGTTTACACTTACCCAAACCGGCACAACAACGATTAAATTATCAAAGTCATCGACATCAAAACAATTATTATACAAACTTTGTTTCACGGTTGAACAGCCACTAATTCACGAAACTGCAGTCTTATTATTTCCAGTTAAAATCGAGAAAAAAAAACCGTGTTGTACTTTTGTAACCTTTTTAACGAAATTTAAAACCAAAAATTGCTGTAAAACTGCAAAATATGTCCTTTCAAAATGAAAAACAATTACTTCGACAGAGTTTGTACTTGTGCATGCACATAACATTGAAAACCGTCCATGACATAAACAAAATGGAGGACAACTTTGCACTCCGCTATGTTTTCACATACCCAGGTATAATTACCCATACCAGTGCAAAATTAGTATAAAACCCATACCCGTGCAGAATTAGTACCCTTGCATGGCGCTTCGCGCCGCCGGCTTGGGGATAAAATAGTTTTGTCAATAACACAAGTACAATATGAAGAATGCTGTAAAAGTGCTCGAGAGGATGACGACTTTGTATGTTTATATCTTCGGTTCAGTGCACAATAGTTTTGGTCATTATCAACATTGTAGCGATTTATGATCAAGCGAGATCATATATTATCAAATTACGCAATTGTCTGGACTCTTTCTCTACGACTTGGTATGTTCATATCTTCGGTTCAGTGCATGCTATGAAGACAATAATACTACCATGTACCACAATAATACCATGCATGTACACCACAGTGGACCTATGTTTATTTGTAGATCGGAATAAAATAAACTTTGTTTTGGATGTGTTGATAGATAGTTTGTTGGTGTTTAGCCATTCAGCTATCTTGTTAACTTCAGTTTGAAGAGTCTCATTTAGTGTTTTAAGACACAAGTGACTAGAAAATATGCTGGTATCATCTGCAAATAATAATGTTGAAACTATATCACTGCAGATTTGTATGTCATTTATATACTAGAAAATACATGCATGCATGCAGAAACCCTCGCCGTGCTGACAAAACCATTGTATTTTCCGAACATGAAGTATCTCTGGTTACAACAGTTTATAGACCACCCAGTACATCATCAGAATTCTTTGACCCTTTTGAAAAATTGATTAAAGCTATTGATAATGAAAATAAAGAAATGTATGTACTTGGAGATCTGAACTGTGATATGCTAAAAACAGATAAAGATTCCAATACCCCAACAAAGAAAATTAAGTCATTATACGAATTATATCAGTTATCACAACTGATAGGTGAAGCTACTCGAATAACTATGACAACCAGCAGTCTAATAGATCATATTGTTACTAACACACCAGAGAAAATTTCTGATTCTGGTGTCATTCACACAGGTATAAGCGATCATAGTTTAGTATTCGCAATTAGGAAAATTTCTGTTGTAAGAAAACAAGAAAATACTGTTGAGATTAGAAACATGAAAAATTTTGATGAGGAAAAATTTGTTGCAGAACTGCTGAAACAACACTTGGGATATGTGTAATTTTTTGCTGCAGATCCAAATACCATGTGGGAAATTTGGAAAAATTATTTTTAGAGGTCCTAGATAAGCATGCTCCACTTCAACACAAAAAAATCAGATAAAAAAAGTCTCTTGGATTACAAGCGATATAAAGAAGCTTATATATGCAAGAGACAAGTTAAAATGAAAAGCCATTTTAACAAACCTAGAGTCATGTCTGTCGTATATTCCATTATCAAAATTATGGAACGAATTCTATATGATCAACTGTATGACTATTTAACAAAATTTGAACTTCTTAGTGATTCTCAATTTGGTTTTAGAAAATTTCACTCCGGTCATTATTTATGGAAGGGGGGGGGGGGAGAAAATAGGGGGGCATATGTACAAATAAATGACTAGAAGGGGGGGGCTATTAAATTTTTTGGGGAAAATGGGTGGGGGGTTGCAATTAAATTTGAAGGAATTTGCTTAACAAGCCCAGTTGTAAATTTGGATGTAAATGTTCCGACTAAATTAATATGGTCACTGATGTGAAATAGTCTGGAATAGTGTATGGAAATCAGTCTTTACTGATTGCAGAGATTAATTGACAATATATTATTTATACATCAGCTATCTTGACATGGTTACAATCGCCAAGACCAAATGGAAACCTGATTTTTTATATATATATATATACTCCTCTTTTATTAATTATAATATCTTTTATTGATATCATATGACTTATTGGGCCTCCAGTCTGTCCATGGTTTGCCCTATTACAGGGAGAGCATCAAGTGCAAAGCAACTTTGACTGTATAGAAGTTCTAATACTCTAATACTTGACTTTGTTTTTAAGTTTTGAAGAACTTCTAGATTCAACTCATCTTCTGTGATGGCATGCTGACTTCCTGTCTCCTTGCAATTTCCATCTGGAAAACAAAGGTTTTTAAAAGTGTAATTATCAACAAGTTGTTCCAGTAGACGTTTCACAGCAGATTCTTCACTTTCCTTTTTTCGCTTCCTTGTCTTTCTCTTGTTTTCCTTTCTTCTTTTAACCAGGCTAGATTTTTTTCTGGATGCAATAGCAGCAAAAGCCTTTTTGCTTGTAGAAAGATTCAATCTGAGTTTGGATTTAGCATCTTCTGTGGTATCAAGCAGAAAATTCAAATTTTCCAGCAATGTCTCATAATATTGTCGCTGCTCTTTTGCCCATGGTTTACACTGTTGGCCCTTCTTGTAAACAACATTTCATAATTTCTTCGAACCTCTTACTTTTAACACAATTTCTTCTATCAATGATATTTCTTTTACTCCACGTTCGCAGTGGTCAATATCTGTTGCCTTCGAATTTTCAAGAGGAATTAAATAGTTCCCGAAACATGCATTGTTATCTTCCGACAAGAGGTAATTGAGCTTTCTTTCAAGTTTTTCAAGCTTTAATTTTATTTGCCACCGTCTTCCACGCTCCTTAAATAGATAGGCTTCAAATACAGATTCACTCATATGAGGTCTGGCTGCTGCAAATATAGCTGGTAGGATTGCTCACACAATGTGAGCCATTCAATCACAGAAGAGTGCGAAGCACTCTCAACTTCGGCCATGTTGATTTTTTCCTTGTGAGCCGTACGAGTATGGGTCAGTGGTCTGGGTAAGAGAATGCGGTTCTAATACTTGAAGTAGCCCCAATTTTAATGTGTTAAGATTAAACTATAATGAAAATGAGAAACATCTCACAGTTCACAGAGGTTTTATGGGGGTATCTTTATAGCAGTGGGTATGTGTACGGTTTATAGCGTTATGGTTATTTTCGGAATGTGGGTCCGATGTTTACACATTATAATTGGCCTACTTGAATTATAAACTACCGGTATCGTGGGCTCATGAAGGCATCATCATTCATCTCTGATTATTCATACTGCATAGAGAGGGCATATCATTAATCTTCATAATACTGTATACGTTTATAGACCTTTATATATAACCACCAATAGCAATAGCAATATGAACGAAAAAACTGAAGAACAGTTTTCCTCTCCGATCTTTTCCGATTTCACAAATACTGACGATATCGATGTTAGAGTTTCTCGTCAGCAGTGTGAACTCGTCGGTTTCCCATTATTGTTGAACTATCATTACACAGAAGCAAAGAAGTCCAACAACACAAAGAAACAAAAAAAGTTACAAGGTCTTCTCGAGATTCACAATCATCTTCTATTGAAACCAGACGACAACAGTGTGGAACATACCGGGTATATTGATTTTGACATCGTACATGAGCTGTATTGTGGACACCAAGAACAACATATCGAAAAGAAAGATTTTAGGGACATTCTTCTTCATCCAGACTACGGATTGTGCGTGTATGTTGCAAACTTTCTTCAGTTTAATAAGCGATACATAATTCTCAAGACACAAACACTTGATTTACCATCCTTTATTGCTGATATCAACAACATGATTAACCGTGACAAGGATGCTTCCACTCAGGCTAGTAAAATTCGTCTTGATCTGGATAAAGTTGGCTTAAAGCACTTACTGGACTCCATGGACTCTGAGTGGGACAAAACATGTGCAAAAGTTATGCTTGCAGCAAATCGATCAAGGGGAGAAATCGAAGAGCTAGGATTACTTCCCGATGCTGTTGTCAATAACGTGAAACAAGTAAGAAATGTCATTGTGAAAATCGAAGAAACTGAGACTGCAGCCCATGAAACCGTTCTCTTACGTTTACGTCAAAGACAACAAAATTTAAAAGTTAAAGTTGACGAGTGCACGTCTGTCATTGAACAGAAGGTTGGAAAGTGGCACGATTACCGAATAAGCGATGTCTACGAGAAACTAGATGTTTTGAAGGAGCAACTCGAAGAGAATAATACTCAAATCAATTGCCTTGAAAAACTGGATGAAGCTGACAAGTATACGAAGCAGAAAGTTCGGCAAAGAATAAAAAGAACAGCTAATCAGCTAGAATATTGCAATAGGATTAAGAAAGGAAAACTTGTGCTGGAGCAAAAACATTGTTGGATTCATCTGATGCGGAATTTATAGCTAAAGCCATCGAGGACAAAGCCACGTACCATGGTAGACGACACAACCCAGTAATGTTTACAAATAGACAAGTAAAGAAAAGGGATTTAATGTCAATAGCCAATTACAGGCTTCTTCGGAAAGGAAAGAAAATTATTAAATCCGCCACAACTCCATGGAACCGATCTCGCCCCAAAAATAAGAGAATCATCAAGCAAAATTGCATATTGGAAAGGGGTTGTTCTGCACAAAGAAACCACCAAAGGCAGAAGATTGCGATAATGAGAATACACATCATCAACGAAGTCACTGTAAGAATGTCAGGGAGTTATGGTTTTCAGATAATGGCAAAGAGTTCGCTCATGAAGTCCATGGATGACAAGGCATACATCAGACCAGGAACATCAGGTACTGCATTAGAACAGTATCAAATATCAGTTTTTTTTGTTACACTATACGCGTATATTTAATAGCACTATACGAGGACAGCGTTGTTTCATTTTTAAAATTTAATATACTATAGTATTATTATTAAATTCGTCATAAATGTTTACAATTACATACATAACATGCTATACGAGACAATGTATGTTACTGGGATATGGAACAGGACTTTCGTCCCAATTAACGCCTAGCCCTTATAACTTTTACTAAAACATTATGCACACATTACAAATGTTTAGTAGATGAACACTTGCGCAAATCAATGTTTATGGTAGTTCTAATTCATTTCTTTTTGACTCATTTAAAATTTTTTCGTTGTGTAGAAGGTCCAGAAAAAAACAGAAATGTCAAGATACTGACCCTGGATGGAACAGGTGCAAGAAAATTGCCAAAATATGACTGGCCTGAGAGATTGGTGTACCAGATACCAGCAGCACATAGGATAATTGAAAAAGAAGGCGTAATCATGGATGATGGATCACAAAAACTGATAACAAAAAATGAATTGCACGTTGTGGTGGTAAGACCAAAAGCTTATGTTTCTTCTACTGGTACGTCATGGGCAAACGAAACTCATAGGCTAAGATGTGAGTATCCAGATGTTCACGAAGTACCCGTCTCAGGTGATCAATCTGTGTCGTATTCAGCTAATTTTCGGCGATTTTGTGCCACAGATCAATGTGATATTTTCATGCTGAATGATATGACGATGATGGAAGATCTCCAGAAGATGAAACTGCAGGGGCCTTGCATTCATCAAAGCTATGAATTGAAGCGTTTGGAACATTTTCTACACAGAAAGGAAATTGCTTTCGCTGAAGTAGATCTAAAGAGGGCAGTATTATGTGAAGGCGAAGGAACATTAGTGGATGAAATTAAACGTTACCTAACTCCTTTGACTACTCACTGCAGTAAATTGGCAGAGATCATTAAAGAGGCAACTGAACTCTCTAGTTACGAAGAACTTCAAACGCAAGCACAAGAGGTTCTAACTTTTCTAGAGTCTTTGAGATTGCCACAAGTCAAACCAAGATAGGCAGAGTTTACTGATGCTGGTCCAGGTGTTTCAATAAACAATGGAGATGTCAAAGTAAGAAGTGCAGAGCTAGACAGAATGTACAATAGAGATTTTCGTATCCGGGTGCATCGTTCTCGAGGTGATAGTGGGCAAAACGAAGCCGAAAGAACCAACTCCGCAATCAGAGATGCCGTTGTTGATGGTGCTACCATCGAATGGGAACATTACGAGCGCTTTGATGGTTTACAAGATAATGAAATAGCAGCCATGTCCCTTCAGGATTATGAAATCCACGAAGCCCAAAGAATGGAAAAGAATGCATGGAGAGTTGCCAACCAGCTGGCGGAAAGGATTGATGGCGCACCTGTCTTATCTGAGTTTATTCATAGCTGTGTTTCGGAAAAAACAGAAGATTCATTCTTTTTTAACGAAGATTATCTGTCAAAGTATATGAGTGCAACAAAGAATGTTAGATCACATCTTCCAGGATCAGCTTACTTTAACAAGATATCCGACTTTATGGACACGCATGTCCAATCGGGAGAATTATACAGTGAGTTCCTGAGAGACTCATGTCAGAAAACAGACGGCTCATTGTGTCAATACTGTTCTGAAAATCGTTGGGTTGGACCTGTCATGACAAGAATTCCTAGACCAATTCCAGATTACTCCAAACTAACAGACTATAGTTACAAATCTGTTCTTGACACTTCGGTTTTGGACAGTGATGGGAAGGAACGAAAACCTGATGACTGGCAACCAAGACATAACATTAGGAAACAGTATGAGCAAAAGAATCTTAGTGCAGATGATGTTGATGGGGTAAAAGAATTTTCGAAGAAGTTTATCGTTGAGGAAAAGTATGTCAAGTCCTATCTTGATCACTTGACCAGTTTGGAAAATCTTAAGAAAATCCGGGATCGACAGCGGCAAAACGACCGAAGAGAAAGGCAGCAAAAAGATGTGTCTTCATATAACTGGAAATCGCTTGTGGAAGATGGAAAGCTTGCCTCTCTTACAGTACCTGAACTGGACAAATACCTCGAGCATTATCAGCTGCCCAAGAATGGTCGTAAAAACGATAAGATGAGAAGGATAATTGCTCACTACTTCAGCGAGAACGGCGAACAAATTCCAGAGAACTTTGCCATAAATAGAGAAGACGACAATGAAAGTGAAAGTGGAAGCGATGAAGATTTGCTAATATATGAAAGTGAGAGCAGTGACAATAATGTGACTAGTGAGAGCGAGGACAGTGCGACGGATAGTGTTTGTAATCCACCATCGTTAGTATCTCGAAGTGGTCGCAGAGTTGGTCATTGGCGAACCTGTTATGCAAATTAATACCAAAAAAAGAGAATATTTAACTGCTATAAAAGAATAGCGTTCTCGGCTTTTACATTATGTTACATTTATAGAGTCATGGTGTAAACGTTGGCAAAACAGACATATATAAAAAAAAAACAGTTTAATATTAAAATATTAAAGTCAACAAATTTTAGACTCAGTGCTATTATTCCTTGATTATTTATATGTGATGAATCTCCTGGGAATCTTCATTTGACGAGTAAAAATGAAAATTGGGGGGGGTCAAAGAAAAATATTCTAATATGCAGGGGGGGTTACTGTTAAATTTCTGTTCTTTTAGGGGGGGGCTTTCAATTTTAAAAATTTAGGAAAGAAAAAATTCCCCTCCCCCCCCCTTCCATAAATAATGACCGGTCCTTAAATTCCAAAATAATCTGTCATGCACCAATCTTTTTTACAAAAAAATACTCACCATTTCTAACTCGGCATCAGTATCTGATGATGATCTCTGTGAAGATGAGCTAGAAGCTGGCCATGGTGGTGTATGGGGTTCTAGCATTACCGAAGACTTTTGTAGAAGTTCTACTGGTACCGAAGACTTTTGTAGAAGCTCCACTTGCTTCTGTAGCTCCTGCACAATGCTTGTTAAACACGGCATTGCTGAAAGAAATTATTATATGTATGTATTGTACACTGTATCTCAACAAAGGCAAGACTAAATAAATGACACTTTCTTTGATATATATGATCTTGAATAGGAATGCACCACTAAACATCCACAGTCTGGCTAACTCCCAGATGAAGTACCTCCATTTAGTTCAACTTATTAGTTGAAGACCCTTCCCAGCTTGACAAGTAAAATTGCTGAGATTAGACAGAGTAAAACACTTGTTGCAAGGTTGTTTTAGCAAGTCTTGACATATCAAGAATGTTACAAGCAGAGACGAATTTTCATATTTTTGTTCAGGGGGTGGATAATATCTGGGGGGTGTTGCTGCTTGCTTTGGCCGGGGGTGGTGGCAACGCCCGGAAAGGTCAAGGAAAAAGTTTTAATTAACAAAATTTGTTTCCTAGGCCTGCATGACAAGATCTGAGACCATAATATTGGTAATTTTACAAATTTAGTAGTAAGAATTAATCAAATATGAAACTATCAAAATATATATAATTTGCGGGGGTGCAAAAACTTTTGGGGGCAGTACCAAATGCCTCTGGGGGTGCAAATCATTTCTGGGGGGGGGGGGTCGGTGCCCCCCCCCCGCAGAAAATCCATGCCTGGTTTCAAGGTTGATGACACAATGTTGTAACAATATTGTTATATCATGACTGTATCAGATTTGTTGGAACAACCCTGCAACAAGTCTGATAATATCAATGAGGTTACAAATGTTACAAATTGTTGATAGCTTGTTCCATACTTCTTGACAACTTGGGGCAAGCAGTGCGAACACAACTTGTTGATGGCCTGTTGATATAGTGTTGCTACAAGCTGTGAGATTCTTGCATGTGTAAATACCTTTGAGGTTCCTTATAACACCATGTAAATGTTTTATTTCTCTTTGACATCAAGTTTCCTCTGAAGGTCTTGGTTTTCCTGCTTCAAGGTTTTAATATTTTCCTCATCAGAGCTGCACGATAATATCTTTATTAAATGAAGTATAAAAACATTTAGTAAACATTATGAACAATTACACACATGACATCAATTTTTCCATCTTAGTTTTGATAGAGCACTTACATCATCTTCATATTCATTATCACTTCCATCACAGACCTAACCTAAACATTAAAAAAAACATGTCCATAAAACTTTGTTTCATTCATCTTCTAAGTAATTAACCTTAAATTTTATGAACTAAATGTGTAGTTCAATAAATAGGTGTTATGTTTAGACAGAACTGTTTAGGCTTCTTCCACTCAAGAGTTTATAGATTTGCTACATATACAGATGCTTAAGACTAAACATAAGTCCGTATATTCTGAGGTTTTCGGTATGCATTTGTAAGCAGAAATATTCTTTATTCTGAACAGTGTCTAGGTACTTGCGATAGATGAACCAGGCGGAAATCGTAATCTTAGGATAAATATTAATGCCCAGCATAAAACACGTAAAAGAGCCATAACAAAAATATAATTTAAAATATTTATTTGAAAGCTAACGTTTCGTCTTTAACTTAAGACATCTTCAGAGCAATGACATACAAAGCGGAAAACACAGAATTATGAATAAATTACAACTATTTACAAGATATTATATTACAAAAGTAGAAAGAGGAATGGATCAGAGTAGAAGTAGAGGGACCGAGCTGCCCTGTAAGTTGAGAGAGGGTTTGAGTTTGTTAATGAGAAGACTTTCTCGAATGAGGAGTTCGTCTGGAGAAGAGCAACAAGAAATAATCTTAAAATCATTAAGAGAGGTGGAGTGACCAGTGCTATCAAGATGGGAAAGGATACTAGACATGGTCGGATTGCTGCTTTTACTGCCTGTTAGAGGAGAAACACCCAAATGTTCAGAAACTCGTGTGTGCAAGTGAAGGACTGTTTGGCCCAAATACGTTGCGGAACAGCAACGACACGTGAAGGAATACACAACACAAGATCTTAAAGCGTTAGGAATTTTGTCCTTAAAGGTGAAGAGTTGAGACAAACATAAAGTTGGACGAAAAACGAATCTAATATTAAGATGGGGAAAGGCCGAGGAACAAAGACGGGAGATTTGTGTGCGAATTTGAAGAGAGTGAGCGCCAGTATATGGAAGAGAGAAATATAGAACTTTCTTAGGAGCAGAATGAACAGCTGGTTTGGGTTGAGACACATTTTCTAAAAATGTTCGTACGCAGCGATCAAAAAGACGAGTTGGATAACAATTCTTATTAAGAATCTGGCGGTATAGTTCTAACTGAGCATGAAAGTTCTTATAATTGGAGCAAAGGCTAAAGAAACAGTGAATAAGAGAAGAAACTAAGCTACGTTTATATTGAAAAGGAATAAAGCTACGGAAGTTGGTAAACAGACCTGTGAAGGTGGGCTTTCGATAGACAGAAGTTTCGAAAACACCATTCTTCCGAGAAATGCTGATATCAAGAAAGGGAAGTGTGGAACTAGATTCAACTTCACTAGTGAATTTAATATTAGGATGCTGGCAATTTAAACAAGAGAGAAATTGAGGTATATGATCAGCAGACTGGGAAATCAAGAAACAGTCATCAACATAGCGGCGGTACAATAATGGCTTAAAGTTGACAGGACAGTTATTTAACCAGTTAGACTCATGAAAAGACAGGAATATATTGGCGAATAACGGACCTAAGGGTGACCCCATAGCAATGCCGTCAATCTGTTGAAACAGAACCCCATTAAACAAAAAGGAGCAGTTTTTCACAGCAAGACCAAGAAGTTTCTTAAATTCCAATTGAGTCAAACCATGAAAGCGAACAGCATTAGAGAATAAGCGGTTTGAAATTATGTCAATGGTTTCATCTAGAGGAATGTTGGTAAATAAGGAAATCACATCAAAGCTTGCCATAACAACGTTGTTGGAATCGAGATTGAGGCTGAGTAATTCCTGGACAAAAGAGAAAGAATCCTTAACCATATAAGCACCTGACGAAATGGGATTGAGGAGAGGAATAAAAAATTTAGCGATTTTATAGGAATAATGGTTTATACAAGAAAGAATAGGTCTAAGTGGGATATTGTTCTTGTGGATTTTAGGTAGTCCGTATAAAATTCCTATAGTTTTTCGTAGGTTGCTTGCGTGATTGATCCTGATTTCTTTAACGTCGACAGGAACCTCTTGACTTTATTTTCGCGTTGTAACGTCAGTTTTACCGGGTCTTCGTCTAGGCGTTGAAATTTGGTTTCATCTTCCAGTATGGCTTCCATTTTCTTGTTGTAGTCGTCCTTGTCAAGAATAACTACCCCATTTCCCTTATCTGGTTTGACAATCACAATGTTAGCATCGTTTCTAAGGTCTTGTGTTGTGTATTCCTAACGCTTTAAGATCTTGTGTTGTGTATTCCTTCACGTGTCGTTGCTGTTCTGCAACGTATTTGGGCCAAACGGTCCGTCACTTGCACACACGAGTTTCTGAACATTTGGGTGTTTCTCCTCTAACAGGCAGTAAACAATCCGACCATGTCTAGTATCCTTTCCCATCTTGATAGCACTGGTCACTCCGCCTCTCTTAATGATTTTAAGATTATTTCTTGTTGCTCTTCTCCAGACAAACTCCTCATTCGAGAAAGTCTTCTCATTAACAAACTCAAACCCTCTCTCAACTTACAGGGCAGCTCGGTCCCTCTACTTCTACTCTGATCCATTCCTCTTTCTACTTTTGTAATATAATATCTTGTAAATAGTTGTAATTTAGATAGATAGATAGATAGATGATTTATTCAGTTTTAAAAGACTTTACAGCTGATAATGGCTGAATTGTGTTAAAACTTTACAATTATAAAAATTTAAGAAACCTAATGATTAACAATATTTACAATTACTAACAATAAAAGAATTCATAAACCGATCAGTTTTGGCCCTTGGAACGTTAAGTTGCCTTTTACGTCTCAGTTGGTATGAACAGTTATTTTCAGATGGTAGTAGAGGTCTGAGTTTGTGGGATTGATCTCGAGTGATCTCATTAATTCTGTATTTCCGCTTTGTATGTCATTGCTCTGAAGATGTCTTAAGTTAAAGACGAAACGTTAGCTTTCAAATAAATATTTTAAATTATATTTTTGTTATGGCTCTTTTACGTGTTTTATGCTGGGCATTAATATTTATCCTAAGTGTGTAGGTAGAACTTTTATTTATACACCCTGACCCCATCAACCAAAGCTGATTTCCACGAGAGGCGTGTGCCAAACAAATTGAATAAGATTTTTACATGTACAGGAAAGTGATAGAGCTATTTACAAAAGTCTTAAGAGATATAGAGTATTAAAATAGTAACATATTAATGTCTAATGAGAAAGTTGACTATTTACAGGCACATTATTTACAATACTTATTCATAAATGTGAGCAGTGATTTTATTTCGTCAGTGTTACAAGATTCTTCATTACGATATTCATGTGACTCAGCTCATTAACTCATTGAGTTGCATTGCGCCCTACTCTTTATTTAACAGTAAGGCTGGGCCTGCATTGTCCTAAGTGGTATGCACAACAAACATTGGTGTTTGAGGTTTAGGGCTTGTGTTGGATGCAGATCAGCTTAAATATCAGCTACCTGAGAAAAAAAGTGATTAATATATGATTGTGAGCATTTTACTGACTTATAAAAAAGTGATTAATATATGATTGTGAGCATTTTACTGACTTATAATTGAATGATCCATATAATAACAATGTAAGTAATTGCAGGAGCATTTTTCAGTCATTCTGTATTGCAAACGGTAAATTGACATCCGATTCGGGTGTTGGGGCTGCAATTTCCCGTTTGTAATGCAAAATGACTGAAAATTGCAAACTTTGCAAGGCTCTATTTTCCTCATTTTACAACATTTCGCAACGAAACTTTGGAATATTACCAATTTTGTGATGCTCTTTCAAGCTGTGATGAAATATTTGTCTAGACTTGCCTAGATCAAAATTTTGGTTATAAGGAGAAAGGTCTATTAACCAAGCATTTATAACTGAGCTTAAAATATCAGTTCCGCTACATGCTCATATTATTTGTGAGGTTATTTTAACACAACTATTGGTTCTAAGAATGATTATAAACCTGTTGCAAAAGTCCTATTCCTAATTAAGTTTAAACTTTTTTACATTTTACATTTTAGAACCCTCTGGATGAAAAAGAGTCATTATACCCAGGTGCAAATGTTACCAAAACTGAAAGTCTACTATTAATCCTTAGTTTTGTGCTGAGGCATAAACTAACAGATGTGGCTCTTAGAGATCTTCTTTTGCTGCTTAATACATTTTCCCCTGATGCTATTCCAGCCACAAAGCACAAGTTCTACAAAGTGGTTAAACTCCAACAGTCAGAGGTATGGTTGGTTGCAATTCCATTTGTGGATGGGCCTGTTTAGGTGTGTTATTTATTGGTACTAATTATTGTTTTTAAACTAATTTTTTCTTTGAATTTTAGAACCACTTTTACTGCTCCACATGTTTGTCGTACTTGGGCAAGGATACCAACAGTACATACTGCAGTTCATGTGACAGTCCATTTAACAAAGATGAAAGTATAAAGAATGGGAATTACTTTATCTATATACCAATTCAGCAACAAATTGAAACTTTGTTATCAGACAGTAAGATATTACCTCATTTAACCAATAGAAACTTAGAGTTGTCCCTTAAAGCAAATACTGTAACTGATATAACAACTTCAGCACTATACAAAGAACTTATCATTAAGCATGGACTTGGTCCAAATGACTTGTCATTGACATGGAACACCGATGGTATTCCAGTCTTCAAGTCTTCAAATTATTCAATCTGGCCTTTGCAGGCTTTTGTAAATGAACTTCCTCCTTTTCTGCGTAGCAAGAATATCTTATTGCTTGGTCTGTGGTTTGGTCAGAAACCTATAATGAATATCTTCTTGCGCCCTTTGGTTGAAGAGTGTAGAAAGCTGGAATTACATGGATTCACTTTTGGTAATGAGATCCTACCAAGGAAAGTGTTTTCTCTGCTATTATCTGCGGATTCTCCTGCTAGAGCTCTTGTACGTAACGTTAAGCAGTTCAATGGCCAGTATGGATGTGACTGGTGTGAGTTTGAAGGAGAAACTCTGCCCAGTAACGGTGGTCCTCCTGTGCGGTATTACCCTCATCGAACACCAGTTATTATGCAAACTGCGAAAAAGCAAGCAGCATATGCACTAGAGGCTACACCTAATGACCCAATTAAAGGAGTAAAGGGTATGACATTAGCTGACCTATTGCCTACTTTTGACACCGTCAGAGGTACAACAACAGACTATATGCATTCTGTGTGCCAAGGAGTTGTAAAACTAATGGTGGGTTTATGGGTTGACAGAATCCTTCCTGCCCTTTACTTGAATCACTTCTTTCTTTTTGTGTATGGCATTTACACACTTTTGGGCGATTCAATTTCCGATGAGTCGATTGCTATTTCTGAGTTGTGTCTGACAAAGTTTGTCATCAAGATGGAGGAGTTATATGGGTTGTCAAAATGTAAATTTAATGTCCACTGTTTGACCCATCTGGCTCACTGTGTTAAGGACTGTGGTCCATTGTGGGCAACGTCTACTTTCACTTTTGAGTCTCATAACCATGTGCTGTTAAATCTGTTCCATGGGACACAGTGTGTTCCACAGCAGATATCGCATGCCTTTTTGCTCAAATACCACGTTGCATCAATGTCTAGGAATTGTGTGGATGGCGATTGCTCAGATGCTGTGAAGGATCTTCTTGTAACGTTGAATGATGACATCAGGTATAAGCACAAGAGGGACTGTAATGGTTTAGCTCCTTTAGGTTGTGAAAAAATGGTTAAGTTGGATGCTCGCAGGATAGTTGCTTTGCAGAATCTTCTGAATGTAGAGGTGAAGAACGATCCTTCTTTGTGTTATGATAGGTTTGTGCACAATCATCAGCTCTATTCTAGTGAAGGCTATGTCAGATCCAAACGCCACTCAAACCACAGTATTTCTTTCAATCATCCAGTGTTTAAGTATGGAGTAATTCTAGGTCTTTTGAGTGTCAAACCATTGTGTGAATGTTCCCTAAGTGTCTCTCAATACTGCCAGTGCTCACGTTATACTGTAGTTATTGTAAAACCTTTGCAAGCTAGTCAGAGATTGTTATTTAGGGATATAGACTTTAATGTATCAAACAAGTTTATTGTGGAAGTTCAAGAAACCAATGATATTATTGCACTGTATCCATCACAGATTGAACGGAAATGTATTTCTCTCTGCTTAGATAACAAGACATACTTTTGTCCTCTACCTTATCGTATTAACGATGACTAAATAGTTATGTAAATAGTGATGCATGCTTGTATATATGATATTAAATAAGGTGAGCATATAAATTTGGACATGCTATAGAAGTTGAATATACTGAGTTTTTTAATAAGATACATTATTGTAATAAATCTTGTCAGCTGTAATAAATAATGTGCATTGAATATCTCTCTCTCTATATTATATCATATATTATAATATGAAGTAAAGACCTCGCATGGAAATTTAAAAAAATTTCGTGCGCAAATCAAATAATCTACAGTAGAATACAGAAGTGAGAAGATAAAGTACAACTGTTCACTTGTTAGATTTAGATGTCATTTGCATTTATACTTGTAAGTGACAATGTACTTTAATGTGTTACTTGTAGTTTAATCATGAAGGTGTTTGCTGTTCGGGAAACGAATATGCAATTTACAAACAAAAATATGCATATTCTACGCACAGACATATTACAGTAGCTGAGTAGCATGCAGTGCCGTAGGAAGCTCTTTTTGATTAGGGGCTGGGAACGAGGCCCGAGGAAATTTTTTAATTTAGAGTCTCTGAAATGCCATTTCCTGGATTTTGGGGAAGTTTAGAACAGATTGCCAAATTCGCACTTTTCTTTCTTGCCTCACTCTCATCCTTTAACTCTTTAATGTCGTCGTGTGCATACTCAATTGAAGCTCTCATATCTCGCAATTCTTCCTCAAAAGTCATAACCCTGCTTCCAATAGAATCTAGCTTGTTTAAACGTGTCATCATCGACTGCATCATTTCATAAATATCTTTTAACTCTACTTCTTTTTCATTATTTGATGCTTCTACATTGTTCTTCTCATTCTTAGGTTTCGGAATTTTAGTTTTAACTGCTTTATTGGGCGTACTGATATTAGAATTATTTAAATTTTGCGCAGAGCGCTTAGCGGCGTGTCGTTCAGTCGCCATATTGTCTCTCCAACATGGATTCTAACAGACCCTCAGGTAGCAAAAAACAAAAAAACATGTATACAGGACTTAATGAATTTACATTTTATTCAATAGTGGCAAGGTGCTGGAGGTCTCCGTGTATCAGCTGGGACGAATATGGAGCAGGCCCAGGAAAATGTTTTGCTTGTCCAAGCAATCTTAAATTCCCCTGAGGTCAACTATGGTTTGTTCAGGGTTCCAGGTCATGGTGTGGTGACCCTTGATAGGAAAAACGGCAAACAATTTATTGGGAACAAGCTTTCGCACACGTGGAAGCCTAGTGCCTATAAAGGGAAAACCAGTAATAGGGTATGTACTATGTATAATATATCAAATCATATTTCCAGTGGTGGTTTTATGCAGGTGCATAGGGGCAGGGCCTCTTTTAAATATACAGTGTGCACTGGAGGGGGACATGCCCCCCCCCCTTAGTTAATGTCTTTTTAAATTTTTACACAGAACACCAGATCGAAACAGCCATGCAGTCATTAAGCCGACAAAATCTTTAGGAAAGGTACTGTAGATTGAATTGTCAACTTTGTTGTGATTACTTTTCTGTGATTCTTGATTGTGTGAATGATTAATGTGACATGTTTTAGGATTGTTTATGTGGGGAAGCAGGCTTTGAGACTGTTCCATGCATATAAACATTTTGTTTAGGAAAATATATTGTGTTTTAATTTTAACAATTAGTCTGTATCCTTTTCAATGAAAGTATGATTTACGGTTTCCTAAAAAAATTGTTTGTGTTAATAACTAACACTGAGTCCATTTCAAATAAGCATAGAGAGTACACTCAGTATACCACCACACATTAGCCTGAGTGGAAGGCCTAGCTCATAAATCTGTGGGCCTGCCACACAGGCTAACCCCACATATAAGCACAATGCAGATAAAGGCGCATGCATGCACATAAGCGAACAAGACATTCACCATTCTTATGAATCTTATCGATATAGAAATAATTTTTATGTTTTGAATTATCAACTTTGTCTTTTATATAAATTGTGGTTACTGTATATGGGGTTGGGAGTTTTGTTCACACTTTTTCTACCAAAACAATCCCTTACGAAAAAATCCTATAGGAATTCCTATAGGAAATCCTATAGGAATTCCTATTAGATTTTGGCCCAATTTCCTATAGGAATTCCTATAGGATCCTATAGGAATTCCTATAGGAATTCCTATTAGATTTTGGCCCAATTTCCTATAGGAATTCCTATAGGATCCTATAGGAAATTGGTCCAAAATCTAATAGGAATTCCTTAGATTTACATAGAAATTCATATTGGATCCATAGATATCTTATATATCATATAGAAATTCTTGCATAATCCTCTAAATCAAACTGCCTGAAAGAGTTATTTACCAAGGTGAAGGAAAAAGAGAAACTAGTGAAAAAAATTTATTACAGATAAAAATGTGGCAAATATAACAGGCTATATTTACATATAACATGCTAATTTAGGCTATTTATCTTTTTAACTTATGACATTTTTCATTGTTCTCAGTTTAAGAAATGTTTCTTATATTTTCTTACTTTTAGAAAATTTTTAGACATAAAATTGTACTATATTATATTACCTATATTATGTATTTAAAAAATAGAAAATTCTGTATGCACTACATAAGTTTTATTTTCTGTCATTCTTATAGATGGCTATGTTTAGTTCTGATTGCACAGCAATGTGTTGTGGCGAATAGAGTTTCTCCCAATGCCGTATTATAACACTTTCCACTTCACAATCAATATTATGATCTAACAAACCATTTGTTCAAGTCCATTGATTTCTTCATGTACATTTAATACTGCTCCGAGCACAGCGTGCAAATGCCACCAGAGATCCATCATATTGGAATCTGTAAAAGGAAAACATTATTTATTTGAAAATATAATCATAATTAGTAAATTATACCCTATAAAAAAACTAGAACAATGGACTTGCTTCCTAAACTGAGACACATCGTTGAAATTAGGGCAAATATTTTCCTCTTTTGAAGAGGTCAAAGCTGCGATCAGTCGCTATGAAAAGAAGAATTATGTCAATTTGTATGTAAATGACTCCAGAACGATTTCTTCGACAATTAAAAGAACGCCAAGCAAGGTTATCAAAGCTGAGTTGCAGTACTCCCACATCAATTACGCTTGCGTTGCTGGTGGCAGAACGTTAAAATCGAAGTCAAAAGGAACAAGGCCGAATCAAAGGTTAGTTTTTTCTTTAAAATTCTCAATGTAAAGTTGTTACCTTTGTCTAAGGATTTTTGATCGTTTGTTGATAGCACGTTTAGAAAGGATTGCAATATGGAAGTGAAGTTGAGAGCAACAAAAGATGGTAACTTT